CGGGGCCCGGCGGGCGGGAGCGGGGCTGCCTCAGCCGTCCTGCCCCGGAGCCGGACTTCGGAAATCCGAGCCGGGTCGCCGGGGTGCTGGTGGTGTGCGCGGCGGGATGCGAGAGCGAAGGGTGAGGCGGTCATTTTTGTAGTGAGTCCTTCCGATTTGATTTTTCTCGGGGGTATGGTGGCTTGGTCTTGGACTAATCTCTGCGTATATATATAATATACTTACTTCTTTGGTTGTATGTTTGTTGTTGTTTTAATCGGTGCTGTGTGGGCTTTCCAAATGTTTCCAAACTGGAAACACATACATTTTTTGCAAAACGCCTCTCTCATCAAAAAAAGGAGGCTCAATAGTCCTTGATTTCATTTTTAAGAATGGATCGGTATGAATTGATGCAGTTTTGTTACACTAGAACAGTTTGGAACTTAATGGGAGGTAACTACTTTTTTGTAGTAATAATTAGGCAAATTGCCAGAGATCTGAACGCATAAACTGTGCTGTAGTTTGTTTCAGCAAATGCAATAGCAATATATATATACTATATATACGTGTGTGTATATATGTAAACAGACTTCACTATTTAAGCACGTAGACCTCGATGTTAACAATTTGAGCTGAAGATGGCTTTTACTGAACTACTACTACTGCGTATAATAGGAGTTCAAGACTTAGAAGCAATTCAGCCTGATAGCTTTGAAAAAAATATCTTTGGAGTTAATGTCAGTATTTGTGGCCTCGGTGGCAGTCTCATGCGTTTCACTTGTGGAAATCTTACGCATTTCTGGAGGAAAAAATGTGTGAAAGTAACTCTGTTTGCACAACTCTCTTAATGCTGTGCAGTAAAGTGTGCTCTTTTTTAAAAAATTTCCATGTGACTCAAGCCCGAGTCTTGTTAAAAGCCGGTGGGCCATACTTTTAGATCACTCGACAGCTTTTGTAATTCATCCTCCCAAATGTCAGCAGCGTGTAGATGTAGAGGTTAAAAGAAAGAGGTAGGAACCGCACAAGGGTTGCGGCTGCTTGGGAGATTAACAGCAAAGGCTTAATAGTTAACTTAGGCTTTCAGCTCTTCGCTAGAGATCAGAAAATTCAGGTTTGGTACAGCAGGGAGCTGGAAGCCAAGTTAAAATGGTCTTTGAGAGAGTAATTCCAACTGAGAATAGTAGTTGCTTTGTTAATTACTCCTTGCTAATTAAATTCAAATTAAATGCTACTATCCCATGTAGCAGTGGAATGCAGTGAACTCGCATTTCTGTGTGCTGAGCCAGCTTCGTGTGATGTAGCAGCTGAGCTTAAAATAATAGTTAACCACTGGCCGTTGCAGCCCCGATGAGGAGAGTAAGCCTACCGTGCAGCGATTTTCTAGTGTGCATGTGTATAAATGTTTAATCTTCTATAGATTTCAGTCCAGTAAAAACGTGGTGGCATGTTTGACACATTAAATGAAGCCATTTAAACCCCAAACAGGGAGATGGGCACCTTTTAATTTTGCCTGGAATTTTGGTAATAAAAATGTAGCTCACATATGATTATTACTGACTTATGTATTTCATTGCAATTTGAAATTATGTCAGTATTTCTTTAGCAGTTTCTAAGAGGCTGTTGCTCATGAAATATTGAACCGATGACCCGAGCTATCCAATGATGATGAAAGGCCCAATCTAACACTTTATTGAACATGGCATTTATGAAAAATGAAACTGCTCGTTTCTATTATATAATCAATAGCACATTAAACCATTAATCATTCATTTGATTAAAGAATGCCATTTGAGACCTATATGTTCCCCTGCCTTCTCAGTTGAGTTTAAATTCAATATCCGAGAAAGCACAAGGTAGCAAAAAGAAAAGAGCTAATCTGTAGCTACCTTTACTGTCTTGGGGCCAGCAAATTTGGCAGATCCCCATTTGCTATATCATTTGGAAACATTACCATGAAGTAGTACAAATGTGCAGAGAAAACATTTATTCTAAGCTGTCCTCAAAGTTGAATGGATTTCTAGCTTTGGTACACAAATGAATGCATTTCTTTGATGAAAACCCAGACTCTCCTTACCACAAGTTGGAAAAAAAGATGTTACTTTAAGAAATGAACTTTTAGGACCTTTATTTCCACGGTGAAAGCTTGGAAACTGTGAAAGCTTCAGTCACTGAAGAGCATTAAGTGTAAATGGAATGTGTGTCTTTAAACTCTGTTATCAAAAGTCATTTTCTGGATGCCCCTTTCTCACTTGCTAGCATTGTATTCTTGTCCATTGTAACCCCTGGCTGTAATAAAAGAGACGTTTGCTTGGAGGAGGCCAGCAAGTAGCCATCATGTTGTTTTGGTTATTTTACTCTGCATATTTCTCCTGGTGCAGAGAAGTGGTGTCCTGCTTCCTGCGCCCCGGGAATTGATTCTTGCCTGGACAGTTTTGTAACTGGCCAGTTGGTAGCTCTGTGAAGCTGCATGTGCTACCTGTGCCTTTCGGGGAAGTTCTGCTTGATTTTGGCAACTGCACTTCTAAATAGGTGTTAACCAGCCTCCAAGGAGTAGACAGCTGCTGCAACATAAGGACTGTTGCAGTAATGAGATGAGAAAGGGGAAGTTACCGAGATTCCCTAGAGTCAAAAAATAATATTGCTGTGAGGTTGTCTCCTGAGAGATGGTAATGGAAGGAGTGGGGTTTTTGTTCTGTTGATTCTGAAAGAACCATCTGAAATCTGTTTCCGTCACGCGTCTTTGGAATGAGGCCATGTGCCGTCTGAAATTCTAGAGTGGTTGTGGTAAAGAACAGGGCTTTTCTTTTTTTCTTAATGCATTTAGTTACACACTGTTCTTCTGGTTATCCATCTACTGCAGGTGAGTGTGTTTTTGAGGGCAGATGATGCGCCTTCCTTTCTTACAGCACTACAGAGAGCCCGTGCTGTATAGGAAGGGAGGTGCGAGGGAGCATAGCAGTGAAGGGATGAATGTAAAACTGTACGTTTACATTTCTTACCTTTACTGCTGTGGAAAACCAGTGCTTTTTGGTAGTTACAGTATCTACTTGAGGGTTTAAGATTGAAATACGAGTGGAATTTGATGCACATCTCTGGATTCAAGTGGTTTTATCCTGAGGTGACTTTATTTTTCTTTGCTCTTCTGCATTGAATTCAGGAGACAGTAGTTGCCTAATAAAAATAATGTATGAACACAGATTGCTTGGGTGTTGCTTTTTCACTTAACTTTTTATACCTAGGTATACACTGATGAGCTGTTGCTGTCACTTATTGCACTACAAATAGCGTGGAAAATACCAGTGTGCATAATTTAATGTTTCATTAACTTATATAATGAAACAAATGTCCATTCTTGATTTTGTGTAAGTAAAAGTAGTGTAATGTAATAGCTGATGGACTTCTCTTTTAGGGCTGATCTTGAGAATGGTCTTCTTTAAATAACATTGGTTGTACTTTAATTCATTTTTACTGCTTTCCACAGGCCTCTCAGGAAGAGCTAAAAGCTGCCTATCGCCGACTGTGTATGCTGTACCATCCAGACAAGCACAGAGATCCTGAGCTCAAAACGCAAGCTGAGCGGCTCTTTAACCTTGTTCACCAAGCTTATGAAGGTCAGTGGAAGTCTGAAGTTTGCAGAAACTGTTTTCTAGAAGGAGGGCTGTGTCTTCGTGCTTTTTTAAGAAGATAGATATTATTACAAAGTAATAATAAAATTTGATGATACTTAGCGATGCTTTGTTTCCTGCTTCTGTCCTGTAAATCAGAGGAGCAATGCAAGATAAATTCTGCAATGAACGAGATGTGGAGTCTCTGTCTTATTTCCTGCACATTGTAAATAATCTTTTCACCATTTCCCTTACTTCTGAAAAGACTCTCCCATAAGAGACTGAAGACTGAAAAGTTTCAAACAGAAAGACAATTTCATATTTTACTTTTGGACTGATACATCCTGAATTTCTGTTCTCTATCACCTGGTTGCGGTCTCCATTGTTTTTCAGCAAGTTCTTCCATATTATAAGATTGAGATAAGGACAATGGATTCATAGCAGTTAGAGTTTTTTTCTCATCCAAGGATGCCAAAGCCCTTTAAAAATATTCTGAATTGAGATGACATATACTTAAATCCTGGTGTCACCATAGGTAATACAAACTGTAACTGAGGCACAAGGAAGTGATACGTTAGAATTAGCTTGCAGCATTTTGCAAGTGTGGTAAGAGGCACCTGGAATGCAAATAGATTAGAAGCTGGCAGGACTCTTCTGCATTAAAAAACTGGTGCAGCAAATTAGATGCCTGGTCCTGTAGCCTAAAAAGAGACTAAAGCAAAATGATGAATAAATATTCCTCTATTAAACCTCAAAGATGAGCTAAAAAATTTTTTTACTCTCATGTTTTCTGAATGATAAGCATTTGTTTCTTCCAGTTGGACTTGGACATGGGTGGAGTCTTTTACGTTGTCCCTAGTTAGGCGTTAGGACACATGGAAGCTTTTGCTGGGGAGAACAGTGAAGGTCTTACATTGATGACATGGGGAATAAAAACTCAGGATGCTTCAATAATTTCATTTTAATGTGGTGAGTAGGTCTTACATTAGAGTCAGCTTTCCCTTTGAATTCCGTGGCTTTGCTTAGCTCAGTGTTGTGATGTATATCTAAATTGTTGCTTGTTTAGTACTAAATGTGAGCGTAATATTTCACAAGAAAAAGTTTTGACATCTTGAAAATAAGCCACCCCATCTCCTGCGTACTTTCTCCCCCTCCTCTTCCATCTCTTAATATCACACAAAAAAAGATTTATTTTATCAGAATTTATAAAAAATAGTATCGGCCTGTGACATCTAGCAAATTCAGTACTCTTCAAGTACTTCAGATCAAAGCTCAATTACTAGTATAAGCCTTTTTTTGCCTTAATATACACACCCAGCTCCCTGAAGACTCATCAATTCCTCCACAGTCAAAAGAAATACATGATAATGATAAAGCTGGTCTTGGAACCCTGTGGGGAAAATACTGATGATTTTTTAATTTTTTTTTTTTTTTTAAGGAAGGGTGTGGTATGAGAGATCATGCATTTAAATATCCCTTACATTTTAGAGATTCTTCTTAATTCTATGTGCAGTCTTTTTCCAAAGTAACTGTTCTGCAGTCTCCTGGTGTATTTTATTTTCTCCATTGCATTGGGTGACTTTTTGGGAGATTCACATTCTACATGCATTTTTGCAATTACCCTGTAGTAATGGCAAGGCATGAACTGCCTCATGGAAATTGCTTTGTTGGTGTTTGGCATGTCCCATGTGTTTGGACTGGGTGGGAAAGGATCAGTGGACAGGGATGGTAAGGAAGGTCGAAGATAGGGAGCGAAGCGCCAAAGAGCTCTGAAAGCTAGACAGAGGTAGATGTCATTCCTCCTCAGAAAGTTTCCAGGAACTGCTATCGCTGAATTGCTAATAATCCCATTGATTGTTAGAGGGCTTATGTCACTTCAGTCAAAGAAAGCAATGTTAAAACACCCTGCTGCATATTCAGTTAGTCTGCATGTCTCTTGTGTTATTTTCACTTTTTGATTTTAGAAGGAAGAAAAAAGAAAAAAAAGGAATTTGTTGGGGGGAAAAGTCAGTGTGTCTTGTTAATATAGCACGTGAAAAGATTAAAAGGAGTTAATGTAAAAATTGGATGCAACCGTAGAAAAACATGTTTCCAGGATCTGTGCTTGAATTCCGAGTAACACTAGTGTGTTGGTCTGAAATTCCAGAAGACCAAAAACTGAATTCTTTCCTCTCTTTTGATTTTAACTTGCAGTGCTTAGTGATCCACAGACCAGAGCCATCTATGACATATATGGGAGGAGAGGACTGGAAATGGAAGGATGGGAGGTGAGAGAAATTTATAACCTTATGGCCAGTGGCATTGGCTAAACCCACCTTTATCTGACATTCTTGTTTTATTGAGCTGCACTGACACCTTGATGGTAATAAATGCCTGTTTGTTTGCAGGCATCCTTGTTTAGTTATTTCTGTCTCTCTCTCCGCTGAAACACCATGATGGATTTTCAAAGAATACTTGGGTTTTTCACTTGACAAGAGAACAATAAACCTGACATTCAGAGTTCCCTAATAGGATATTACCAAGACAGGCAACATCTTTGTCTGAGACAAATGCGTCATTATTGTCCATCTAGTCTCATCTTTTTCATCTGAAACTTTTTTTTCAGCATCAGCTACCCTCTGAGTTTGAAATTACTTTTTCTTTCTGTGCTTTTTGGGGTGGTTTTTTTTTTTGTTGGTTTGGTTTTTGGGGCTTTGACAGAGAACTTGTCCATTCCTGGCTTTCCTGTTGTTAAGTCCCCTTGCTAGCCTCTGCCAGTCTCAGCTGATTGCGCTATGCTGCTTGCTGCAGAATCATACTGTATTGGGTCAGGTCAGTACCAAGGTCAAGTTTGGAGTTAGCAGCAAGAAATGTGGAGCAGTGGCAGTGTGTAACAGACGTTTTTGAGCTGCTTGTGGCAGACTTGATCTTATTTTGAAAAGCCAAATCCAATACTCTTTCTGTCCATACCTAGAGCCACACCTGTTTAAAACCTTCATTCCCTGAGCCATGTAAGGTAAACAGATGTGAATCAGCACAGCCTAAAATCACAAAACTCTCAATCAGTTTACCTCAGGCCAGAAACTTTCAGTCGTTTTCATTTTTGTGTCTACACCTAGTAGAGAAGTTAATGTATAGCTGTTGATAACAGGCACGCTGCAGTGTCTTGTACTTGTGGATTGAAAGTTGTTTGCCCTGGTTTTGTCAAGGGAATAGAAATAACAAGACCGTTTTCCCTTCTCTCAAAGCATGGGGTTTTCTCTCATGCCTGACATTTGATCTGGCCCAGGTGTTTGCTTCCAAACTCTGAGTATTGAAATTCGTGCAGAGTGGCTTACAGCAGCAGCAGGGGCAACGTGTTAAGAGTGTACCAGGTCAGTGGACCTCTGTCCCGTCAGCAATGCAATACCCTGAATATCCTCTTTCTGGTAATCTTTTGTTTTTAATTTCATTTTGAGCAGGTTGTGGAAAGGAAGAGGACTCCAGCTGAAATCAGGGAAGAATTTGAGCGTTTGCAGAGAGAGAGGGAAGAGAGAAGACTGCAGCAGCGAACTAATCCAAAGGTAAGCAAAGACTTCATCCTAGTCTCAAGTGAATCCGTAAATTATTACGAATATGCAGAGTGTGATGAGCCTAGATGAGGGGCTATAGTAAATAGCCCCTTAGGTATCTACACTTAGTGAGTTACTTTTCCTTTTTTTGAATATGCAGTTTCTCTGGACAATGTAGGGA